TAAAATTGAACTGAATTGAATTGACAACTAAGGGGACTGTGAGAGTCATTCCAAAACCTTCTGCTTGCATCTCTTGATGTATTCCATAGTGGATATCATGGTATGTTTAGGATAAGATTCCTCTTGTAGAATCCATCCTCTTTTCTGCTTCAGCTTATCTACAGATGGTGTGATGTTTGCTTCCAAAATTAGAATTTTAGTGGAATCCATTCTTCCATCCACCTGTGCAGTGTTTTCTGTGCGACTGGCTGCAACACAACCCCAAATAATGATAGATCCACCCCCATGCGTAACAGCTGCCAAGGTGTTCTTTTCATGAAATAGGCCTTTTTTTTCTCCAAACATCCCTATAGTGAATGTGGCCGTATTGCTCTATGTTAACCTCATTAGCCCACAGCACTTTTTCCAAAACACATAAGGCTTCTGTAGATGTTCCATTGCAAGCTGACAACGCTTTACTATCTTCCTGCAGCCTTCTCCTGCATTGTCGACATCAGTGGGCATCAATAACTTTCATTTTCAGTCTTACACAGCTGCTTAGAGGAACCCATGGTTGGTGAGCATTCACATGAGGTTTGAAGAATCATAGTATTTGTAAACAGTTGAAATTGGCACCAGCTGACGTTTTCAATTCTTGACATGCCTCAGCTAATGAGCTGATGAAGGTATGAGATATTGTAAAAAGAATGTGAGACTGCAGAAGTGCACATGCCACAATGATGTTAGATACAAAATACAAAACGTAACTATGCATTAATGTTTGCTGAAAATATTGTTTTATGTTCCATATCCTATAAAAGTCTGTGCTTAAATCACAAAATTTGTCAAGGGGTGCCCAAACTGTTATACTTTATTACAGTATATGCAACTATATACAGTCAAAATTAGCAGGATGGATAGACAGATTTGATTTGGTTTTGAAGTGCATTTTAACATTCTAATTTCACATTTTCTACATTACAAAGAAACAGCATGCATCCAGTTTCATAACTGCTAGGCGTTATATGGGGCATACTCCAGCATGCCCTGGGTGTATGCACAATGTACCACTGCTCTATTTTTAAAATGCCTTTAATTCTGCTTTGAAGTTGTGACATTTTTTTTGTTTTACTATTTGTCTTATCAGCAAGGCCATGGTGTGATGGGAAGTCTTTTCAGAAATGTTCAAACCATGATTTGCGTCAGCTGCATTATGATACACACACATTTCTTTATGTCTGGCCTCTTTTACTCATACAAATAAAAAGTGATGACATAACACGCAAAGATCATCAAGTCAAAACTCATTCAGTAGCATGAGTGTGGTGCACCATATTAATTGATTTTACAATAAAGATAAACACTTCCTTGTAGCCAAAAGAGAGAACTACACTACGTGGACTAAAGCATGCAGACGCCCAAACATAATACCTATCCCCGTGGGGAACATAATTCCCCACGGGGATTATTAAAGGATTTCTGATTCTGATATATGTGATAGCTGAATGTGATTCTGACAGCATGGTCATTATAACAGCCCTCACTCTTCTGGTTTCAGGCTTTCCAGCATATGTTGGAACCTGGCTGCACAGATTTGCTCCTATGAGAGAACATCCGTGAGGTCCAACACTGATGTTGGGTGATCAGGTCTAGCTCACAGTCTGGCTCATCTCAAAGGTGTTGGATGTGGTCGAGGGTCTGTGCAGGACAGTCAAGTTCTTCCATACTAAACTGGGAAAACCATTTCCGTGCTGGTGTTATCGCTGTTTATACTGATATAAGAAATGTCATCAGTGTATATCTAATAAAGTTGGACCTCAAAAATACTGAGGAAGTTCCTCTGTAAAACATATCAAGTTAAAACTTCCCTAATAACTGTGTACTGTAACATACTCCCCCTATGTTGTTGTTAACAATGTGTGTCACGGTGTGTGATGTACATCAAATGACAAAGTTCAGTGTCAGTGTACAAAGTAGTGTGCCCTTTGTGTAGCAAGGGGGAAAGTCGGGGTGTGGAGGACAGTGTGGTGGGATGTAGAGCATCCAGCTTCCATGCAGAAGAAGGGAGTTTGAGTCCAACAAGAGACCAACAAGTAATTTTTTAAACCATAATCAGGATTCTAACCTTAACCAAGTTTAGTGCAGTTACCTAACCATAACTTAACCACAATTTATTTGCTATAACCACCACCTTTCGCCATGCTTAATCATACTATAGTTGCAAAGCACAGCACAAGGGCCATGTATGGCAGTCAAACTGTGTGCATGTGCTTGTGTGCATGCATACAAGTGTGTGCAGAGTAGTGCAATAGGTTTACAAATCAACTATGAAGCCTGTTATTTCTGTAGTGTCTTTAGTAAAGTTGACCTTCAGTGTATACCAGGTATCCAGATTTGCGGTTTATAAGTGAATTGCACTCTGAAACTAGGGGCCAAATCACAAAAAATACCAAATCTTACATAATGTTGCTTTAAGACAGAGTTTAGCTCATTTTAATTCTTTCCCCTTGCATTTTGATTAGTTGCACTTATTTTTTTTTTTATGTTCCAGACCTTTGACATGGACCATACCACAATATAGTGTACTATATAGTGGAAGATTATGTTGTTTTCAGTGTCTTCAGTGTCTTGTGGGAAGTTGAGTTTTCATGAAGTCTTTAATCTTTCTATCAGGGTTGTTGGATGCAGGTTCAGGAATACCGGAGAAGCTGAGGTTATCTAGCATGCTTCGAGTTTGGAGGTCCAAGATGGTTTCTTTCATGGTTTTGTTTTCTCTAGTGAAGTTTTCTGTTAGAGTTTTAACAGATGACTGTAACACGCTGTTTACTTAACATGCAGGCTATGTTATATTTTTAAATGTCTTTACTTCTGTTTTTCTGTAAAACATACCAAGTTGATACTTCCTTAGTAGCTGTAACTTCCTGCCCCTCTGTTCTTGCCAACAGTGTGTGTCACGGCGCATGATTTACATCCAATGCCAAAGTTCAGAGTCAGTGCAGGAAGTAGCGTGTCCTTTGTCCACCAAAGGGAAAAGTTCACGTGGAGGTAAATGGGCTGTAGAGCACTTCTATGCAGGGGAGGAGGGTTGGGTCCAACAAGAGAACAACAAGTAATGTTTGATTTTGGAAACTGTTATCAGGATTTTAACCGTAACCAAGTTTGCTGATGTAGTTGGCCTAACATGACTTAACCACAAATTGTATGTTGGCCCTGTAGGTTAAAATTGGGCTCATTTTACGGTAACAAAAACGATTCTTATATTTAGGTGATTGTACATAATGAAAACATAGCCTATAAATATTAGTACTTCCTATTTCTGCCAGAATAGGATCCTCTTAAATGTTACACACTGGACTTGTCTGGAAGTGTCACCTTTTTATTGTTCTACTCCCTTATTATACACACTAATGCTCAACTTCAAAAGATTACTAAATTATTCAAATCATCATGGTTAGTAGTAATTGCAGTTATATTTTAAGTTTGTGTTAAGTTTTTGCCTTTCTCCTCCCTTTAAACGTATTTTAGCATTTTGTCAGCTTGATTTTTATTTTATAAACAACTTTTGTGCATGATGAAATAAGCCTTTATTGACACTGACTTGAATTTATTCAGAACCAGACTTCAGATTATCTCAGAGATCTGTGCTTGATGAGACCTGTCTGGCAGTAAACAGTGCAGTCTGCAGATATTTGATTTGGCTCTGTACTTCAGCTTTGATGATTTTAAATTTATTTC